CCACCACCCGTTCCGTATTCCCTTTGCCCTCAGCAAGCACCTCAGCTGGTCATGGTTCTTTGCCTGGTAGCATGACCCAAAACTTCATTCCTGAAGGGTCTGGGCCATTAGTAGACATGTCAGAATTGGGTTGCTGAAGTTTTCCATTGACTTTAATCACAGGATATGGTGGTACTAAGAGACACCCTAAGGGATTTCCTACATTCCCGACATACTCTTCTTTACCTCCACTATGTAATATCAATCTGATTTCCTTTTGGTAATCAAGATCAATCACACCAGCTAATATGGTAACTCCCTACTTTTCCTGTTGATCCAGAGGCATAAGGAGCCCAAAGTGGCCAGGTGGTATTCTTAGCTTCCACTTCAATGGAATCAGTGACGTGTCTCCACGTGGGAGCATTCCTCCCTTTGGAACTATTACCTCTAGACCCACAGAGCATAAGGTTGTGGGAACAGGAAGCAAAAATCTTGTGAGTGGGTCATTAGGAGTAATAGTAGGTGGTGCCACTCCTATTTCCACCCCTTGATTCCTTGGCCCATGAATCCTGGTTATGGGAGAAACAGCACCATATACTGGACACTGGTTTAGAGCATATACCGCATCCTGGAGAACACTGCCCCAACCCTGCAAGGTATCGCCATCTAGCTGGCACTGTAAATTTGTCTCTAGAAGGCCATTCCATCCTTCTGTCAAGCCAGCTGCTTCAGGATAATGGGGAACATGGTAATACTAGTGAATTCCATGAGCATAGGCCCATTGACATACCTCATTTGCTGTGAAATGAGTCCCTTGATCAAAAGCGATGCTGTGTGGGATACCACAATGGTGAATAAGGCATTCTGTAAGTCCGTGGATGGTAGTCTTGGTAGAAGCATTGCACGCAGGGAAGGTAAATCCATATCCAGAGTAAGTGTCTATTTCAGTAAGGACAAAACGTTGCCCTTTCCATGATGGAAATGGTCCAACGTAATCAACTTGCTATCAGGTTGCTGGCTGATCACCTCAAGGGGTGGTGCCATACCAAGGACTCAGTGTTGGTCTCTGCTACTGACATATTGGGCACTCAGCAGTGACTGTAGCCAAGTAGGCCTTGGTGAGTGGAAGTCCATGTTGCTGAACCCATGCATAACTTCTATCCCGATCACCATAGACACTTTGTTCATGAGCCCTTTGAGCAACAACAGGAGTAGCTGGGGAAAGAAGAAGACTAGTTTCCACAGAACGTGTCATCCTATCCACTTTGTTAAAATCCTCCTCTGCTGAGGTCACCCTTTGAAGAGCATTCACGTGAAACACAAATATCTTCACTTCTTTGGCCCATTCCACTTCCCCATAAATCCTTGTCTCAATTTTCCAATCGTGTTTCTTCTGTCCCTGACCATCCAGCCAAATCATTGGCTACAGCCTATGAATCAGTATGCAATTGCACATCTGGCCATTTCTCCTTCCAAGAAAAGTTAACAACCAGGTGCACTGCTTGAAGTTCTGCCCATTGGGAGGATTTCCCTTCACCACTGTCCTTCAGGGAGGTTCCAGACAGGGACTGTAGTGCTGCTGCTGTCCACTTTCGAGTGATGCCTGCATATTGCATAGAACCATCTATAAACTAGGCACAGATTATCTCTTCCTCAGTCAACTGATCATAAGGAACTCCCCATGAAGCCATAGGTGCAGAACGGGAGATGTAAAGTAATGTGACAGGAGTAGACACCATGGGCATTTGGGCCACTTCCTCACGTAACTTACTTGTGCCTTCAGGTCCAGCTCAGGCTCGATCTTGTATATACTACTTACATTTAAGGATGGAGAGCTTTCGTGCACGTCCAACTTTAAAACTCTGTGGGTCAGACAACACCCAGTTCATTAAGGGGAGCTCAAGCCACATGGTGACTTGGTGTCCCAGGATTAGGTGTTCAGTCTCTACTAAGGGTCAGTAACAAGCTAAAAGCTATTTCTCAAAAGGAGAGTAGTTATCTGCAGAGAATGGCAGGGCTTTACTCCAAAATTCTAAGGATCTGAGCTGTGATTCATCAATAGTGGCCTGCCAAAGACTCCAAATGGCATCTTTATCTGCCACTGACACTTCAAGCACCATTGGATCAGCCGGATTATACAGTCCAAGGGGTAGAGCTGCTTGCATGGCATCCTGAACCTGTTGCAGAGTCTTCTCTTGTTATGGGTCCCACTCAACACTAGCAGCTTTTTGAGTCACTTGATAAATAGGCCAGAGTATCACACCCAAATGAGGAATATGTTGCCTCCAAGATCCAAAGAGGCCCACTAGGCATTGTGCCTCCTTTTTAGTTGTGGGAAGAGCCAGATGCAATAACTTATCCTTTACTCTAGAAAAAATATCTTGACATGCCCCACACCACTGAACCCCTAGAAATTTTACTGAGGTGGAAGGAGCCTGAATTTTTGTGGGATTAACTGCCCACTCTCTAGTATGCAAGTGTTTTACCACTAAGTCCAGAATCATTGACACTTCTTCCTTACTAGGCCCAATCAGCATGATGTCATCAATGTAATGGACCAGTGTGATGTCTTGTGGAAGGGAAAGACGATCAAGTCCTTGAGGATTAAATTATGACATAAGGCTGGAGAGTTGATGTAGCCCTGAGGTAGGCAACTGAAGATGTATTGCTGGTCTTGCCAGATGAAGGCAAACTGCTTCTGATAGTCTTTTGAAACAAGTATGGAGAAAAAGGCATTAGCCAGATTAATAACTGCATACGAGGTACAAGGAGATGTATTAATTTGCTCAAGCAAAGAAACTACATCCGGAATAGCAGTTACAATTGGAGTCAACACCCAGTTAAGTTTTCAGTAATCCACTGTCATTCTCCAAGAGCCATCTATTTTTTGCACAGGCTAAATAGGCTAGTTGAATGAGGATGTAGTGGGAATTACCACCCATGTATCCTTCAAGTTCTTAAGGTGGCACTAGACTCTGCAATTCCACCAGAAATGCATAATTACTTTTGTTTTACTCTTTTCCTAGGTAGGGGCAGTTCTAAGGGCTTCCACTTAACTTTTCCTACCATAATAATGCTTACTCCATTTTTCAGGGATACAGTGTGGGGTTCTGCCAGTTGCTGAGTATATCTATTCCAATTATGTGTTCTGGAACTTGGGAAATCACTACAGGATGAGTTCAGAGACACACTGGACATACTGTGAGATGGACATGAGCTAAGACTCCATTAATAACCTGACCTCCATATGCCCCCACTCTGACTGGTGGGCCACAGTGACATTTTGTATCTCTTGGAATTAGTGTCAGTTCAGAGCCAATATCCAGTAATCTCCAAGAAGTCTGATTATTTCCTTTTCCCCAATGAACAGTCACTCTAGTAAAATGCTGTATATCCCTTTGGGGAAAGGTGAAAGAAACGTTAACAGTGTGAATTTCTGGTAGCATATTGGAGTCATTCCTCAAGGGGACCCAGCCTCCCCTTCATTCAAGGTGTTGTGGGTCTTTAAACTTGCTCAAGTCTGGGAATTGATTGAGGGACCATGACTCTCTATTCTGGTGATTTGAGTTAGACTGCTGTTCACTTGACTTAGAATTTTTCTGCTTGTACAGATCAAGTAAATATTTAGTTGATTTCCTGTCTATTTCACTCCTAGTGACACCATGACTAAGTAGCCAATGCCATAAGTCCATATGAGTCAGACTACTCTGATTACTGCTTTGATTCCGCTGTCCATTATAGTAAGCACTCCCACCTTTTCTTTGTCTCTTGAGTGCCACCACTTGGCCCCTACTACCCGAGGGTCCAATCAGCCGCATTGTAGTTAGGTGCCTTAATTCAGTTAAGGCAGTTTCCACAGTCAGATCTGACTTGTATAAAATAGCAATCACGGGAGTCTTCCAGGATGCTGGAGCTCCCTTCACAAATTTGTTCCTCACAGTTGTGGTAAAAGGTGTATCCTCTGGGAACTCCATGTGTGGGCCTGTGCGTCTAACCTGATGAATCCACTCTAGCGTGCTTATTTCCCTAAGCATTTGGATACCTTCTTCTACAGTATACCAATGCAGGCCTGGTACTTCAACTAGATTTAGTGTAGGTCACTGCATAATCCATGCTTCAGCAACCCAACTGTCTTAGTTATCTAGTGCTGCTATAACAGAAATACCACAAGTGGATGGCTTTAACAAAGAGAAATTTATTTCCTCACAGTAAAGTAGGCTAGAAGTCCAAATTCAGGGCATCAGCTCCAGGGAAAGGCTTTCTCTTGAGGCTCTGGAGGAAGGTCATTGTCGTCAATTCTCCCCTGGACCAGGAGCTTCTCCACACAGGAACCCTAGGTCTAAAGGATGTGCTTTGCTCCCAGCACCACTCTCTTGATGGTATGGGGTCTCCATGTCTCTTTGCTCACTTCTCTCTTTTATATCCCAAGAGATACAGGCTTAAGACACAATCCAATCCCATAGATAGAGTCCTGCTTCATCAACACAACTGCTTCCCATCCCCCCTCATTAACATCTTAGAAGCAGGATTTATAATACATAGGAAAATCACGTCAGATGACAAAATGGTAGACAGTCATACAATACTGGGAATCATGGCCCAGCGAAATTGATACACACATTTTTGGGGGACACAATTCAATCCATGACACCAACCAAATAAACTATTAGAGCCTTTCCTAACTTCTTGAGCTGAAACATTGAATGAAAAATCTGTGCTTATTGGGCCCATATCAATAAACTCAGACTGATCCATCTTTATGTTCCTTTCACCATTATCCCACACCCTTAATAGGCATTCCCACACATATTCCCCAGGTTTCTGGTTGTTCATATTAGAAAAGTCAAGCAGTTCTTTTGGAGTGTAGCGTATGTCCCCCTGGATCACACTTTATACTTTACTTTTTGGGGCTTTCTGGGTCTTAAACCTGGTTATAGTTCTGAAGCCAAAATCAATGGTGGGGAAATGTTTTGAGAACACTCAGCAGATCCCATCATGGAGGTGATCACATTATTTCAAATCTCATCTTGGAAGTGATCACATCATACCACTGCCAAACCACTGAGAATCATGGCCCAGCCAAGTTGACACACAACCGTAACCATCACACAAACAAAATGAAATCCTTGACAATTTCAAACTTTTCTCCGTTTATCATGATGTTGCTTATTGGTCCAGTTGTAAGGATTTTTGTTTTCTTTATGTTGAGGCTATATTCTTTGATCTTCATCGTTAAGTGCTTCAAGTTCTCCCCTCATTTTCAGCAATCACAGCAGTAGTTTCCTATCAGAGGTGGAAATTGACTGGGAGGGGCCGTGAGGGAAATTTATAGGATAATGAAAATATTCCACATCATGATTGGCATTGAAGTGTGCACTTTTGACTTGTTCTTTTCACTGTATGTAAACATTTTGTTGTCATTGTTGTTAACTGCCATTAAGTAGGCCCCCAACTTATAGCAGCCCCACTTGTTACAGAGTAAAACTGCCCCATAGGGGTTTCTTGGCTGTAATTTCTATAGAAGCAGTTCACCAGGCCTTTCTTCTGCAGAGGTGCTGGGTGGGTTCGAACTGCCAACCATTAAGTTAGTAGCCAAGCACTTAACTTTTGTGCCACCCAAGCTCCCGTGTGCATTACCTCATAATAAAAAAGTTCTATGATAACAGAATTTCAAATTGTCATTAACTCCAGACTTTCTGGAGCCTTTGAGATTGAATAAACCTTTGAAACTATTGTCCTGTTATAATCTTTATACCTTATACAAAAAAAAAAAAAAAAAATCCCCTAAGTTTTCTTAAAACCAAGCAGTAAACCCAAACAATAATGTAGCTTAGTTAATAAAGAATGTCTGCCTTGAGTATTGTGCTCTTTCAAGAACTATCTATATGGGATGAAATTGACAGCAGCAACTTGAAAGATTAGATAGGAAGTTTAAGGGTCAGTGAGTTTATGTTAATGGGTGAGGAACAACTCAGAAAAGGAAGGCAAGAGTGGTTGCACAACTTGAAGAATGTAATCAATGTCACTGAATTGGACATGTAGAAATTGTTGAATTGGTATATGTTCTACCATGTTTATTTTAACAACAAAAACAAAATAATTTTCTTTAAAACTTCCATAGTGACACAACTGTGAAAGCTCCCAGAAGCTGGAGTACCCAGCCCACTTACCTCTCAGGACAGAACTCCTCTGGCTCAGGCCAGTACTCAGGATAGCGGTGCAGAACGTAGGTGGGAATGATCACCACCGTTCCCTTGGGGATATTGACCCCATTGATCTCAACAGTCTTCTCGCAAACTCTCTCTAGACGTCCCCCTAGAGGGAATAGCCAAAGGGTCTCATTCACCACCATGTCCAGGTACTCCATCTGGAAGAGGTTGTCGTAGGTGAAGTCTGCCTGCAGGAGAGAAGAGTTTATCTATTTTTTTTGTACTTGTCATTTTTTAAGTATTTTGGTGAAATTATACACAGTCATACCATTTCATCATTTCTACGTGTACAACTCAGTGACATTGATTACATCCTTCAAGTTGTGCAAACATCTCACCGTCCTTCTCCAAATTTTGCTATCACCATTAACTTAGACTCACTGCCTCCAAAGCTTCTCATCTAACTTTGAGTTGCTGTTTTCAATTTGATCACACATAGATAATTCTTTAAAATTGCACAAAGTTCAAGGTAGATATACTTTACTTATTAAGGTAAACTATGTTTTAGTTCAAAGTCTTTAGGGGATATTTTTGGTTTAAAGTTTAAAGATTATCTGAAGGTGATAGTGTTGGGAGTTCAGAAAGCCTCAGTGGCTCCAGAAAGTCTGGCTTCCATTGAGAATTTTAAATTCTGTTTCACATTCTTCCCCCTTTAGATAAGGATTCTTCTGTGGAATCTTTGACCAAAACGATCAGCAATGGTAGCTGGGCACCATCCAGTTCTGATCTCATGGCAATGGGGACTGTAGTTCATGGAGGTAACCAGATACACAATGTTTCCTTCACCTATTCCTGACTCTCAGAAGAGTGTTTATTAAGTGGATACTGAATATGCCCTATGCTGGATGCTAAGGAAAATAAATAACTCCACTTGCCCTAGATAATTAAATAATTATCTCTAGAGTATATGCTGTGAGCTTCATGTGGGATGGGGTTGAAGTGTCCCACATCATCATATGTGTACCAGTGAGTCTCTTCCACTGGGTAAGGGATGGCTGGGTTCAACATGGTAGCCCACTCATTAGCATTCTTTTAGGGCTGGTCTAAACTTTCTTTCTCAGAGCTCAGAGTTCTAATAGTCTGTAACGCTATGTATTGGATATCCAATGTCTACTCAGTATCTCCTTGGGATGACTGACTCAGCATGGCCAAAACAAAATTCTTTGTCCTCCCCAAATGTCTCCCCCATTGAAGTTAATGCCTCTATCACCCACCCATTTGTTCAAGCCCCAAACCTAGAAGTTGTTTTTGATTCTTTTTTTTTTTTTTTAACACTACCTGTCCAATCCACCAGGAAGACCCATTGGTTTGACTTCCAAAATCTCTCTTGACTCCAGCCTCTTTTCTCAATCTCTATTAGTGTTCTCTTTTCCATCTGGACCACAGCCTCCTCACTGGCTCCCTGCATGCATTTTTGCTCCTTGCACACATCCAATCGCATCACCATCACCCCCTGCTTAGAAGCCCTCAGTGGTTTCTCAGTGCAATGAGGTTAAAGCCGAGCTCCATTCCATAGTCTGCAAAGACCTGCATGGTTGGCCCCCTACCCACCTTCCCTTCATTTCCCTCCCCAAGCCTGTATACTTCAGCTACACAGGGCTTCTTCTAGGCCCTAGATTCATTAAGCTCATTCCTGCCTCAGGGCCTTTGCACCTCCTGTTTCCTCTGCCTGGAACACTCTATTGTAAGGCTGGCTTCTTCTCATTCAGATCTTCATTCAAATATTACCCCCTCAGAGGTGTCTCTCATGAACAATTGATCTCAACCCAAACCCACCCCCACCCTCTGCCCATTCTCCAATCTCTGACTTGTCCTCTTCTATTTTCTTCACTGAACTTATCACCATCTGAATTTTTCTTGCTCATTTATTGGTTTGCTTGTTATTGCCTGTCTGCCTCCTCCCACCCAGGAGCATCTACATAACAATCACAGGTAGCACACGCATGAATTTGTCCCCATCCCCAACCCATCACAACAGTAATGAGAGCTCCTTGAGACCAGAGTCCTGGTCTAGCTGTCCACTACTATATCCCTGACACCTAGCATGACTATGATTTGGTCTACTCTAGGTATTCAACAAAGAGTTGCTGAATGTATGGAGGTCAAGCCACTTTGCACATATTATGTTATTTCAAGGCATTCTTAACTGTTCCACATTTTCATTCCCACCTTCCTAATTAGCTCTTTGGAGGCAGGATTCGTATTTTACCCTGTTCCTTTGAGGTCCTGGAGTGAGCATCTGGTGTCCAATAACACATATTCAGTGGCCCAAGGACCTCAGCATCTCCCCTTCTGGGAATATTCTAGGGTTTAGATTCAGACTTAAAATGTGAGATTAAGAATCCAGAATTGCTGGCCCCATGGAGGTTCCCAGGCCACATCACCTTGTTGTGCAAGGCACTGTCGATCTCCTCTTGAAGACTCTCTTGCACCTCGGGGTGAGTGGCAAGGTTGTAAGCTATGAAGCTGAGGGTTAAACTTGAGGTCTCACATCCAACAAAAATAAAGGTGATGCCTTGAGCAGTAATCTCTATGTCCGTCAAAGCTTTGAGGGAAAAAACAAAATTGCTCCATGAACAGATGTAGACACAACAGACCAGATTCTGGGAACCTCTCTGGTCTGTGGACCTAAAGAGATGTTTTCTTATGGTATGTTCCTGACTATTTGGCCACAGGAATTTTACTGTCCCTCTTACATTCTTTTGAAATGCCAATTTGAAAAAGAAGAAAGGAGATGGGAAGAGGTTCTTAGCAGCAGATGGAGAATTATGAGCAATCATCCACAAAGTTTAGCTGGTGAAGGTTCCTACAAGAAGAGGGTAGTAGAAAGGGATCAAAGGCTAACAGGATTTTGTGAGCTGGAGACTAGAGATAATGAAAGCCAACCTCCTCATTTCACATATGAGAAAGATGACACCAGAGGCAAGAGGTGACTTAGTCAAGGTCACGGCAGAAGCTGAGCCAGATCTTTTAGTTTGAGGTATGTTTTTAACAGGGAGCCTGGGTCATGCAAACAGTTAGATGCTCAACTACTAGCTGAAAGCTTGGCAGTTCGAACCCACGCAGAAGCACTGGTAGTCTGCTTCTAAAAGGTCACAGCCTTGAAAACCCTATGGAACAGTTCTACTCTGCACATGTGGGGTCACCATGAGTCAGAATCAACTCCACAGCAACTAACAGCAACAACAGCATGTTTTAACAGAAGAACTTGGTATTTATAGCTGGCAATGTAGTGACATGTTCTTAGAAATTACTAATGGTCTCTTACACACAGGCTTTGAGGATGGCCTCAAGTCAGGATGTCACCTTTAGGGGACTGGTTTGCCTCACTGGATTCTGGGCTGCCTATGATCTGGGAATCGATCATTAGCTGCAGCAAATCCACACGATCCTGGAAAAGAGAGCCAGAGAAGGGAGAAAGTGAGGCTGACACAGCCCAAGAGAGACTTGAGTCTTAGACATCACTGATGGCTCCCACAAGAAGGGAGGCCACTCCTGTGGTTCCCAAGCTTTGACCTGTGTCACATCTGGGAACTTGTCTGAGCAAAGCCAGAAGACAGGCACCTCCTTCTCTGGTCTGCATCCTACCCACTCCCACCTCCCACTCCATTCATTTTTAGAGCTGGCCGTGGGCAAAAATACTAAAGTAGGGATTTCTAAAATTATGCTTACATCCAAATTATATTTTTAGATTTATCTATACTTTTGAGAATTCAAAAAGGTTATACAGTGACTCATAATCCAATACATAAAGATAAGTGCTGTTGTACTATAGCATTTTTGTGTGTTTATTTCTAGTCTTTTCTCAAGCATTGCTTATGTAGATAAGCTCACCCTCTGTACAGTGTTGTATTTTGGTATTTTTCACCTAGCATTACGGTTAGGGCATTTCTCCATGCCCTAAGAAATTCTTCAGGGCATAGTTTACTGTATGTGTATAAGATTCCATCATATGAGTATGCCACCATTTATATCACTGTGCTTTTGATTCTAATTTTTTTTATTATGCCAAGTGCTCCAATGAAGAAAATTTCTTGAGAATCTTTTTGTACACAGTTCTAATTATTATATTGGAATAGATAAATGAATTTTTTTTTTTTTTTTTTTTGTAGTGGAATCCCCAGGTTAAAGGGTGGGAATCACTAAGACTTTTAATCCATATTGGCTGTTTTCTAGAGTGTTAGAACAAATGTGTAGTCCCACTAATGGTTCCCATACCTCCGATTCTTACCAACATCACATACTATTATTTTTAAGTTCTAATTTGATAGGAAAATAAACTATGATCTTCTTTTAATCTACTTCTTGGTTATTAATGAGATTTAAAATTTTCCCATATGTTTATTTGCATTTGCATTTCCTCTTTTACGAATGTCTTGGTACTTTTCTTATTGATTTACACGAGCTCTTTTAAATTAAGTCTAGTGACACTTCATTTGTCATATTTGCTACAAACATTTTGCCAAGCTTCATATTTGGATTTTCAATAAAGTAGATAAATGTTGTCCTTAATTTCCTCTCTTCTCCCTCTTTGAAGACTTCTTTCCTTCTTCAGACTGGGATTCCATGTACTCTCCTCTTCTTTTCCACAAAGGGTCATGTTTGGGTAAAACAAAACCCAAACTAGTTGTCATCCATTCAATTCCAACTCATGGCAACCCCATGTGGGTCAGAGTACAGCTATGCTTCATAGTGTTTTCAATGGCTGTGATCTTGAGGAAGTAGACTGCCAGGACTTTATCTTGAGGTGCCTCAGGATGGATTCAAACTACCAGCCTTTTTGTTAGTAGCCAAGTGCTTATCCATTGCACCACCAGTGCTTTTCTCATGCTTGGGCTGTTGTTATTGTTGTTAGGTGCCATCCATTCAGTTCTGACTCATAGCGACCCTACCTACAACAGAAGGAAACAGTGCCCTGTCCTGTGCCATTCTCATAATCATTGTTTTACTTGAGCCCATTTTTGCAACCACTGTGTCAATCCACCTCGTTAAGGGTCTTCCTCTTTTTCAATGACCCTCTACCTTACTAAGCATGATTTCCTTCTCCAGGGACTGGTCCCTCCTGATAACATGACCAAAGTATGTGAGATGAAATCTTGCCATCCTAGTTTTTAATGAGCTTTCTGGCTGTACATCTTCCAAGACAGATGTGTTCACTCTTCTGGCAGTCCATAGTATATTCAATATCCACCACCAATACCATAATTCGAAGGTGCCAATTCTTCTTCAGTTTTCCTTATTCATTGTCTAGCTTTCACATGCATATGAGTTGATTGAAAACACTGTGGCTTTGGTCAGTCGTACCTTAATCCTTAGTGACATCTTTGCTTTTTAACACTTTAAAAAGATCTTTTACAGCAAATTTGAACAATGCAATACATTGTTTGATTTTTTGACTGCTGCTTCTATGGGCGTTGATTGTTCATTCAAGTAAAATGAAATTATTGACAACTTCAATATTTTTTCCACTTACCATGATGATGTATTGGTCCAGTTGTGAGGATTTTTGTTATCTTTATGTTGAGATGTAATCCATATTGAAGGCTGTGGTCTTTGATTTTCATCAGTAAGTGCTTGAAGTCCTCTTCACTTTCAGCAGACAAGGTTAAGTCATCTGCATATTGCAGGTTGTTAGTGAGTCTTCCTCCAATCCTGATGCCCTATTCTTCTTCATATAGTCCAGCTTCTCAGATTATTTGCTCAGCATACAGACTGAATAAGTATGGTGAAAAGATGTCATTCCACAACTCGTCTGGTCTTTGGACATTAGTGTTCAACCTATCAGATCTATTCTTGAGATGGTCTCTAAATTCAGGTGAGATATACTCAAGGTCATACTTTAGCTCTCATGGACTTATTCTAATTTTCTTCAGCTTCAACTCGAACTTGCATATGAGCAATTGATGGTCTGTTCCACAGTTGGCCCGTGGCCTTGTTTTGACTGATGATTTTGAGCTTTTCCATTGTCTCTTTCCACAGATGTAGTCAACTTGATTCCTGTATATTCCATCTGGTGAGGGCCATGTGTATAGTTGCTGCTTATGTTGTTGAAGAAAGGTATTTGCTATGATGAATTTGTTGGGCTTGCAAAATTCTATCATGAGATCTCCAGTGTTGCTTCTATCACCAAGGCCATATTTTTCAATTACCAATCCTTCTTCTTTGTTTCCAAATTTCACATTCCAATCGCCAGTAATGGTCAACGCATTTTGAATGCATGTTTGATCAATTTCAGACTGCAGAAGTTGGTAAAAATCTTCAATTTCTTCATCTTTGGCCTTAGTGGTTGGTGTGTAAATTTGAATAATAGTCATATTAACTTATCTTCCTTGTAGACGCATGGATATATCTTATTACTGACAGCATCATACTTCAGGATAGATGTTGAAATGTTCTTTTTGAGGATGAACGTGACTCCCTTCCTCTTCAGTTTGTCATTCCTGGCATAGTAGATCGTATGATTGTCTGATTCAAAATGGCTAATACAAGTTCATTTCAGCTCAACAATGCCTAGGATATTGATGTTTATGTGTTCTATTTCATTTTTGATGACTTCCAGCTTTCCTAGAGTCATAATTCATGCATTCCACGTGCTGATTATTAATGGATGTTTGCAGCTGTTTGTTCTCATTTTGAGTAGAGCGACATCAGTAAATGAAGGCCCTGAAAGCTTGACTCCATTCAAATCATTAAGGTTGACTCTACTTTGAGGAGGCAGCTCTTACCTAGTCATATTTTGAGTGCCTTCCAACCTGAGGGGCTCACCTTTTGTCACTGTATCAGACAATGCATGCTTGGGGAGGTCCTATAAATAAATTCGTGTTGAAGAATCTTGGGGCAGTGGGGAAACATCATGGAGTCTGGAGCCTCCAGACCTGAATTCAAGGACTGCCCCTCCACTTGCTTGCTGTATAACTTTGGGCAGGTCATATAATTTATCTGAACAATGAATAAACTTGTACAACAAGGTCAGTTTGGAGATAAAATGAGATAACAATGTGAAAACACCTAGCAAAACTCCTGCACCCATAAGAACACATAGAAGTTACTTTTCTTAATGAGAAATTTGTTCATTGGAGCATTATTAGCCAGATTTTAAAAAATTGGAATCCAAAGAAGAGTTATATAAATGATAGCATACTCATAAAATGGGAGCTTATATAGGTATCGTAAACTATATGCTGAAGAATTGCTTCAGTTGCTGTCTAGTCAATTCAGCTCCTGGCAAACTCATGTATGTCAGAGTAAAACTGTGCTCCATAGCATTTTCAAGGCTGCGATCTTTTGAAAGTAAATTGCTAGGCCTTTCTTGCAAGGTGTCTGAGTGGATTTGAACTGCCAACCTTTTGATAACAGTTTAGTGCTTAATTTGTTAGGACATGGCAAAATGTCATGAAAAGTTATTCTTTTTTCACAATGAGATACAAATGACTGGTAATGGCTTAATGAATAACTCCATCAAAGGACATGTGCATTTAAATAATGAACCACAGTCTAAGTCTAGAGAAGGACTCTCAAGCAGTAAGTAACGGGAATTGGTGGCAGGATGGGGTAGGAGATTCACTGATGAAATCTACTAGCCCTTAGATTATTGTTCTCTGAGCAAACACCAAGTGACGTCACAGGCACCCACACAAACAAACTCCACAACCTGGCTCACCCTACAGCGAAGTATTTTTGCTCTTCCATACATCACCCCCTCTCTCTGCTCTTGGTCAACTTTTGACAAATAAGAGAACCTGGGGCTGAAGACATGTCCATTCCTCTCTACTAACCTGATTAGCTCCAGGAGCATTGACTTTGAGTATTTCTGTCTGGGTTCAGCCTCATCTGTTATAGGGCTTTGGGAAAGTCAGAAGTTGAACCCCTGTCTCCTCAATTTTTCTGCCTTGCTTCTACCAGTCTGTCTTTCCACCAGGTACTGGCAGAGCCATCTTGTCTCAATCTTTGTTTACAACAAAACCCTTCCTACAAAAGGGGCAGGAATTATGTCCACTTGTTTCTTGCTTAATCTAACATCACAACAACCCACCTTCAACTCTAAACAGTTCAACTCTGTGTCCTGCTCCTCTGCTTCTTAGCCTGCTACCCCTAGAATTGGGCTACTCAGGCCACGCAAATTGTATCTGAATTACTAGCATTTACGTTCAGTTCTAGAGACTTAGATAGTGCTGGGTGAAGCCAAGAGCTAACCCTTAAAGCATGTAGTTTGAACTAAATGGGTATGCAAAAATCACCCAGGGAGACGTGCCTCTGTGATCTCAAGTTGGTGTCTGGATAATGGAGTCAGTAGAGTCTGGTAGGTGAGGACCTCTAGGCTTACACTGCATCCACTTCCTTGCAGTTGCTCCTTAAGACACTGGGTTACATTCACAAAGAAGTCCAACTCCTTCCTGGAAAGTAGAGTCACATTCATCCTTTCTAGCAACGGCACAAGGAAAGGGAACAACCCTAAGGAGAGTGTGAGAAAAGAGAACATCAGTAGGTTCCAAGCAGGGTCACCCAGAGCAGAATCCAAACCCTGTATGGGACCCATGGGATCTTGGGTGGGGAGGCTATTAGGGTTTGAGATTTCAGAAACCACCTCCACCCCCTAAAGGAATAGAATATGAATAATTCTGTATAAAAATAAGAATAGCTGCCATTAATTAAGTGCTTAGCACATGCTCTGTGCCAAGGGCTTTACATGCATTGCCTCATTCAGTACTCCAAGTCTCAGAGGTCATTTCCATTATTATATCCATTTTACAGATGAGGAAACTGAGGTGAGAACTTACCCAAGGTCACACAGAGAGCAAGAGGCAGGGCTGGGACTCAAGTCCAACCTGTCTGAATCTAAAATCTACTCTGGGAACATTACACCTCTTATGGCCTCTCCCACATATGTTGCTTTTAAGCACAATTCTCATGTCCACGAATTATCAGAATGACAAGCTATCTGGCTTAAATAGGGTGTTGGCAAGGTGAGAATGGGAGCCAACACAAAAAAGCTCTGGAAGTAAAAAGGTATTTCAAGAAGAACTTGCTATTGATTAAATGCTTTTACTGTCCTAACAACCTCCTCACTCACCAGAGAACAATACCTCTTATCAACGGAACAGGCGTGTTCTTCTGCATTTAGGGGTATGCAGACCAATCCATACTGGAACAGAAAAAGTCTTCAAAACTTCTCTCTACATCATTTTTATTTCATCCTTAAAAAAATATCTACTTGGGGTTATGTTTTATTATGTACATAATGTATTAGCATGATCACTCATATGCATGCTTTATCAATAAATAAATATACAAATATTTGTGATGCATCCTCAAAAAATTGTTGCTCATATGGGTATGCATCAAAAGAGCTTAGAGACCCTGGAATATACTGGGGATGTGTATTAAGGCTTTGCTCCATTTTAAAACGATTTTAAATCTACTCTTGCAAAACCATACTGTAGTAAACGGAGAAATTTTTCTAGGTATGCAGACGGTCTACTATGTTTACTCATTCCCTCTCACACACTTCAGTTAATTTGACCCTCTCAGCAACTCCGTAGGTGGAGCAGTGGAGGGCAAAGTACTGGGAAATGTGGCATGTTCAAAAACAGCCAAGGGTCAAAGCTGAGTGTGCTAATGTTGCATTTTGTTGGGGTAAGAGGTCTTTGTACTTATGAAGAAGATCAGAGGGCTCAGAAAACTGAAGGAGATCAACTTCTTAACACAGCATAGAATAATATCGTCGGGGTTATTGATGGAATCAGTGTCCACACCAAAGGAAGTGCTGGTGATAATATCAAGACTGTAGCCTCCAAAAATCCTGGGTTGGAAAATATGACTTAAAAATGTAAGGAAATCAAACAGAGTTAGCAAAAGGTTCAAGAGTCAACTCATGAGTCCTGAGCCCAGCACAGTGTCAGACTCACTGGGCAAACAAAAAGAATAAACCAAACCTTCTTACCATCATTGAGTTCCTGCAGGGTAAGGTTTCCTCTGGTAATGGTGAGGATATGAACAATAAAATCATGAAATGAACATCAGAGAATCAATTAGAGAACAACTAGTTTTTCATCTGCAATGTGCTGATTGTCTGCTTTTCCAACAAACAGCCAAAGAGGGAACGAATCAGGAAGGTTAGCCATTAGTAAGTGGTTCTAGGAAGAGGGAAAATATGACTCTGGCCTTAAAAGTAGAAAAGAATTTAGATAAATGGAAAGAATAAGAGAGCATGGTAAGCATCATTTGTCATAGGGAAATGCAAATTAAAGACATAATAAGATACCTCTATACACACACTAGAATGACTATAATGAAAATGACTGACAATATTAAGTGTTGGCAAGGATGAGAAACAACTGGAACTCTCACATATTGCTAGTGTGAGTGCAAAATTGTACTGCACCTTTGGGAAACAGTTATGTAGTTTCTACCAAAGCCAATCACATGCAGACCCTATGACCCAGTAATTCCACTCCTGAGAATATACCCCCCAAAAAATGAGAGCTTATGTCCACCAAAAGATATGTACAAGAATATGCACAGCAGCTTTAGTCCTAACAGTACAAAACTGGAAACTCCCAAGCATTCATCACCAGTAGAATGGATAAACAAATTCTGTAACATTTGTTGAAGGAAATACTAATAATAATGAAAACAAATGAACTACAACTACACCCAACATGGATACACCCAATATTAATTCCACAGACATAATGTTGAGCAAATGGTGTCAAATACAAAAGACTGCTACTACATGATTGCTTGTGCATAAAATTCAAAAAGAGGTAAAACTTATCTAGAGTGATAGCATTGGAAGAGTAGTACCCTGGCAGTACCCTGGTGAAGATGGGGGCAGGAGTACAAGTGAACCTTCTGGAATGCTGGAAATATTCTATATCTTAATCTGATTGGTGTTTACACAGGTGAGTCGTTGTTGTTGTTGGGTGCCGTTGAGTTGTTTTCAACTCATAATGACTCCATGTGACAGAGTAGAACTGCCCCATAGGGTTTTCAAGGCTGTAATCTTTAAGGGAGCATATTCCAGGTCTTTCTCCCATGGAGCATCTGGGTGGATTTGAACTGCCAACTTTTCAGTTAGCAGCCGGACACTTTAACCACAGTGTCAGGGCTCCTTTGCAGGTGAGTAGTGTGTAAAAATTCACCAAAGTGTACACTGAAGATCTGTGTAGTTTCTCATACTTACAACAGCTTCCAGAGGCAGAAACATACATCTTCGCAAAAACCTTTGTCCAAGACATTGTCTCTCCCTCCCCACTCCAGCCCATCACTAGGGAAAATGCTTTGAAATGATCAGTATTCCAAAGCAAAATTGACCTTTCCTCAAAGCTTCACTGAACAAGATGGAGATTTTGAAATATGTAGATTGATTTTTTCTAAAAACAATGCCCTGTACTTGAGGGCACCGAGGGAGCCATCCAATGCCGAAGCTGAAAGCTGCTTTAACGCTCAGAAAACCATGGGCAGGAGCTACCGCAATTCAGCATGCATTTGTGGTATCAGAGGACAAAGAGAGACCAGCAGGCCCGTAGCAAGAGCACAGGAAGGGAGGCCAGCAGGGCTCCTCTCCTATTGTTAATTGTTTACAGAAAAGAGGAAACAGAGGTTGAGAGGGTCTGAGTAGGGGTATCAAGTTTGAGATGTACAGGAGTTGCTCAGAAAATACTCAGATGTTGAACGAATGAAAAGAAATGCTGCAGATGGAGTCAAAAGGCTCCCTCTAAGCTTTCCCACCTTTCTGCTAAGCAGCCTGGAGCAGATGCTGGGTAAACAGTCCAAGTTGCAGGGCTTGTCATTCATTGCCCTTCAGCTTTTAGTTCTCACCCTTTGCCTACCTCAAGGACATCCCACTGTCCCCGTGCAGACACATTCCTATCCCTTCCTCTTATCTCTAGTCAATGCTACCTCTAGGAGACTAGCTTCCATTTATTCTTACTAAAATGCTAAGCCTATCTGGGGGCAGAAGGATGAAAGGATGTACGACTCTAATATTCCCTAGCATGTTTTCTCCATTTCAAAATGGGTGACTGAGAGCTTGACATAACTAACACCATGATGAACCTGTAAGTTTTTTTTTTCGTTTCTCTTTGCCTTCTCCTTTCCACATAACTTTGTTAATGACTTTGTTTTACTCTGCCCGCCCACCTGTGGCTTATGATCCCCACAGGAAGATCAGAGCCCAGACGTCTGAAGAGTACATTTTTAGCATGATAAAGAGATGCTGGCATGTATCTCTTTAGTATGATAAACAGTCTCTTGAAATTACCTTGTAATGAATAACTACACTTCTAACCTTTGTAAAATTCATATATAAGCTCTAATGTAAAAATGTCCTTTGAGACTCCACAGAGACAGCCTGCGTTGCTGTTGGATCCCCATTGGTGGCCACCTCCTAAATAGACTATCTCACTCTTTCTGACTTGGAGTACGTTTCATTGGCTCAACTACTCCAGGGCACAGACCCTAATTGGGCAACAAATTTTTGGTGCCCAATGTGGGGCTTGAATTACTCAGGTCCTGGTTCTATCTCCCTAAGGACCAAGCCCCCTGGGAAGGACCTGGGAAGAGAGAAGGTGCATGTCTCCTTGAGTTGTGGCGGTCTCTCAACCTGTGGTGGCCTGGAGGTACAGTGATGGGGGAAGACTTCATGGCAGCAAGCTCCAGTTGGAGGGAGAAAGTTTCTGTTGGCCATGGTAGGTAACTGGGCATCAGGTGGTAAATCCTCTGTAAAAGCCACTGGGGCGTCAGTTCTTGTAGACTCCCTCCAAGAACAGGTGACTAGGTCCCGTGAGGTTGGAAGACAGACTGGTGAGGTTCCCCGTTGCAAGTGGGTACCCAGGGAAGTAAAGTTCTGGCCAAGAATCCACTAGAAGCTGGACTTATTTAGGAAGGGATCCTCTAAGAGATGTTTTAAAGGTTCATGTAATCAGATGTGACCTCAATACCAGCTCCCCAGTGGGGTTAAGTGGCCTTTAAAATGGTTCTAGAGATTTTAGTACTATTCTGTAGCTTGATCTGTTTTGTACTCAAACTAACAAGTAGGATGAAAAGCTGTATGTAGAATGTTTTATGACTTTATGGCATAAAAAAAGGATAAATCCTCTGTTTCAGCCCCTCTTGTGTCGGCAAATGATGATGACAGGGTAGCAGATGAAGAACCAGAGGATGTTCTTCTCATTCCTCCACCTCAAACCCCCCCCTCAACACCCGTTGGTGACCTCTCCCCAGTTATATCAGAAGATGAGGACGGGAAGGCATTAAAGGCAGGCAGAGGAGGTGCGACAGACTGTCTCCCCACCCCATACTTGGAGTAGGGTACAATTCAGCCCAGTTCTGTCGGGATTGCTTTACACACTCTGGGATGTGTCAGTCCCCACTACAGAAGGACCCTGTCAGATGATTTGGGTTCATAATCTGTTCTCAGCTTCCGATTTGTACAATTAGAATAGAAACCTTTCGGAGTATCGGTTACACCCACATGCCATGACTGAACATTTTTCTCACATTTACTCCTAAAACATGGGGCACCTAGGCAGATAAACTTCTGTAAGATCAAGGACCATCAGTCTTTCTGGAATGGCTCATAATAGGATTTTGCAAGTATACAAACATCGACCCTGAATTGCCCCAGAACAGTTATTTTTATCGGGCAGAGTGCTCCTGATGTTCGAAGGAGGTAGAAGCAGGACTAGGGACCCACTCTTTAACTAAGTTGGTTGAAATTGCATGTAAGGTTTTTACCAATAGAGATCAGGTAAAAGAAGCTGAGAAAAAGAAAGAACAAGACCAGGACATGAAGAAACAGGCCAATCTACTGGCTGCTGACCTAGGATCATCTGGAGGAAGGCGACGAGACCCAGGTAAGGGTGGGCCGTGACTAAAGAAAAACCAGTGTACATTTTGCAGAAAGGAGGGACACTGGAAGAATGAGTGCCCCAAAAGAAAGAATGGAAAAGAGCCAGGTAAGATTGAAAGGGGGTGAAGATTTTCAAGGAGTTATGAGAGAGCAGGAGGAGGACTCTGAATGACAGAGACCAGGGGAGACAACTTTTTATTTACCTCCTAGTGACCCCCTGGTAAAAGTTATGGTGGGAGGACGGTCAGTAGACTTTTTGGTTGATACTGGAGCAAACTTCTCGGTACTCACCCAGAAGCCTAAAGGAAATGCCTCCACTAACAGCACTCAAATTGTCAGGGTGACTGGGAAAAAGGTGACTCTATCCTTTTTGCAGCCAGTGGACTGAGAAATCATACAATTCCACCAGTTTTTATACATGCCCAAATGCCTGGTCCCCCTTTTGGGGGCAGGATTTCCTAAGTAAAGTGCATGCTGAAATCTCTTGATGAAAAAGGCATGTCTCTAACAGTACTGCCAGCAAACACCTGGAAAGTACAAGTAGCTGTCTTAGCCCTCACCCAACCAGTGCTATCCCCAGCATCCATCTCACCTACAGTTCCAAGAGTGGCTAATGCCGTGGCTCCGTTGGTTTTGGACAATGGCCAGCCAGGACAAGCTCATACTGTCGTCCTTGTGGTCATGGAGCTGTTACCCAGTGTCATGCATCGTCAGATTAAACAATATCCACCTAGAGTTGAGACTCACCTGGGACTTCAGGGACTAATCATTCAATACCTGGAGTAGGGACCATTGTGAGAGTGCCGATCCCATTCAACACCCCAGTTCTGCCAGTAAAGAAGGTGTTGACCAGTGACTACCTTGTTGTTCAAGATTTGTGGACTGTTAACAAAGTTGTGACGACCCTACACCCAGTAGTCCTGAACCTATATACCCTACTATTGGCT